CCACCACCGCCCGGCAGTATTTTTATTTTTAACCTCTCTATTTTATTCCTTATCATTTCTGTCTCATGTTGAGACAATCTTTTTGTACACTGTGTGAAGATGTGTCTCTGTCCTCCCTCACCTGCCTATGGCACCTTTGATGGTTTAATAAAGAGCTAAATGGTCAATAGCTAGGCAGCAGAAGATAGGTGGGACTTCCAGGGGAGATAGGAACTCAGGGAAAGAATCTGAGGCAAGGGAAATTCGCCAGCCAGACACAGAGGAAGTGGGATGTATTACGGTACTAAGAAGAGGTAACACAAGCCACCTGGAAAAATGTTGATTAATATAAACAGGTTAATTTAAGTTTTAAGAGCTAGTTGGGAACAAGCCTAAGATAAGGCCAAACTTTCACACTTAAGAAATCTCTGTGTCATTATTTGGGAGCTGGTGGTCCAAAGAGAGACCTGTTACATTTGGTATCCAATGTGGAGGCACATATATCCAAGCATAGGGCTGGAGAAAGCTGAGAAAAGTTCTAGATGAGGAGGCAGATGTAGCTTCCAGGCCTGATGCTCACAGCATACAGAGGTGGGGCTTCTTTTAGAGGCCCTGGGATGCAGCCAAGCATTACTCCCATTGGCGCTACTCAGTGGGAGAATAGGTAGAACCGCCTGCAGGCCCAGCAACATTCCAGGGCAGACAGGTACGGCTCCTGGCCAGTGCCCACAGGGATGAGGCTCAGCTCTCACAGAAGGGCAAGCAGCAGTTGCAGCCCAGAACCAGTGAGGTAGCATGATGGACGGACCCTAGGGGGACAGAGCTAGAGGCAGGCTGCAGAAGGAGCCTACAGATGCACAGAGGTGGCTTGCCCTTTTAAGGCTTGGCTCACATGGTCAGAGAAGCCTGCAGGTACATAGAAAGCCAGGTTCAGACCAAGAAAACCTCTGAACAGGTACAGTATGCTTAAAAATATTCTTGGGTGCTAAAGAAAAGAAAATGGATATATACAGACATAGAACAAAATAGTTTAGAAATAATAAAGTCTATGAAGAGAAATTAAATTAATATAAAAAGAATAAGCCACATAAGATGGGAAATACCATAACACAGAGCATTTGGACCCTATACAGTGCTTTATTAACTTTAAATTTTTAAATGCTAATAAACAAAAAACAACAGCTACTAAAAGACATTTGATTATGAAAAAATGCTGAATTAAACCAGCATATTTTAAGGATGTTTTAAGTTCAGAATGGAAGTCAAGAAATATGTTGTGTTGAGGGAGAGGTTATGCCTGTGTTTCCAAAGGAAACAAAGAGGTATGGATTCCTTCAAAATTAATAAAGATCAGATTTGACCTGGGGAGGCCTCCTGAAAGTCTTGGCTACAGACATGAAGGAAGAAACCCAGAAAAACTACAAGACAGGTGACATGTATGCTGATGCCTCTACATGGGAACAGCTCTGATTAGATGAGACATGGTAACTCTTGTTGGCTACAGAGTCCTCATGACAGTTTGGTTATGCAGTTCAAACAGATTTATAAAGTTGACAGATAACTTTTCAGCTGCTCAAACATAGAAGAGAAAATCATCTTTAGCTGACTTGTGCACACTGTTCCATACTTGTGTTAATGCAGATATGTATGTTCCCTTTAAAAGTTTGTATGTTTTCAGAACAAAAGGACCAGACACCAATAAAGACAAGACAAATAGCCCTGGTGATCCAGCCTCACAGAATTCCCCCATTGCCATTTCTCAAAATCAGCAGCCAGGACAACTTCAAAGCGGTTAGGTGGAAGGAAAGAAATGACTCCCATAAGCTGTCCTGTGCCCTTCAGACATGCACTGTGGTACTCATATAAACGTACACATGTAATATATGTCCTTTTTAAAAAAGTATTTTTTCACTTTGTGGTGCGGGGTGGGGGTGGGGGGGATGTACAAGCCAGAGGTCAACGACAGGTGTCTTCCTCAGTCACT